AGATTTATTATCTCTTCATAAGTGGGAAATTTATCCATAAGAGATAGGCGTTGACGATTGTACCCTCAAGTTTAAACAGTAAGACGAGCGGTGAAAAACCAACTGACAGAGGGCCAAACACAAGACGCAAACGGAAACATAAATATTTATTTGGTCAATCTGTAACCATGTGATAGCATTGGCTACTCAAGGTAATAATGGACAAGCTAGACATTTGAGCGAGTTAGACTTATTCGAGGTGACCCCGACCCAAACAGGCTAGAACTTGAATGGACCTGATCTTTTGAGAAGTACAAATAATCAAGTTTGATCTAAATTTTTTCAAATTTCAAGCGGCCCAAATACCTGAATTTATATTTTTAAAATAATTTTTAATTAATTTTTTTTACTTTGAAATTAATTAATTTATTTTCTATAAAATATAAAATATATTTTTTGATACTTAAATGATTTATAGGACTCAAACATATGGTATTTTAATATAAAATAACCTAAAACTTAATTAATTAATTAATATTTATCATATTTAATATATTTTGTAAAAATAAAATATTTTTATTCAGGTATTCGGGCCAAGCCTAAACTCGATCGAGCTTGGCCCGAATTTTCTCAGGCTTATTCGGGCTAGCTGAAATAGGTTTGAACATAAAAAAATTATATTTTTTTTAAGCTCGACCCTAACTTTTTTTTCGTGCGGATTCGAGTTAACTCATTAGGCTTGGCCCGAATTATCAGCTTATGGTATCCTTTTAGTAAGTGCCTATGTACGTAGTATTGAAAACATTATTAATTAATTATTAATTTTGTCTATTAACCAATAAACTGTTAAATTAATATATTTATATTGGTAATTTAAATAGGTCTGAGTTATTAGAACTAAGTTAAAAATACTCAAACATATGAAAAAAATTCATATAATTAAGCCTAATTATAACACTTTGGGCTTTAGAATTTTATTTGAGTTAGTTTAAATATCCAAATTATTTAATATTTTATTATACTATTTTTTTCTTTTTTTAAAGCCAAGTTTAATTTTATATTAGAAAATTAAGATTTTTCAATGTCGCATACCACAACAACATACATTTTTTTAATCCTTATTAGAGTGAGACCAAACATGAAAAAGTAAAAATGAAAGTATATGAACTATAAAATAACCTCTTGTAATTATTTTTTAAATATTTTCAAAAAATATTAAAAAAATAATTATTGGAACATTCAAACTTCATTTTAACGTACGAAAATGTACAAATTGGGAGTCTAGGAGAGTGTTTGTGAATGCTAAGTGAAAGTTAATTGCATTTTATAAATAATAAAAAAAGAATTTGGTATTTACACTAAGTTCATTCAAGTTCGGGTTCGGCTTGATTTTTTTTTTTAAAATGAAGAAATTCATTTAAACTTTTAAGTTTGTTCCTAAAATTTTATAGATTTATTCAGGTGAGTTTGAATTAATGGCTCTAAGTACATCGATAGCTAGCTCAATACAATATTTTGTTACCGACCAAACTGACCATAATTTTATCATAATTTTGATCATTAATTTTTAAATTATGCCCTAATCAATTTAATAACCGGTCAGGTTTTCTCCATACATTTTATTTGGGTATTCCATATCCCCCATTTTAGTCTAAAAGAGCTTAGATGGTGCTGTCAATAAAAATATTTAATATTTCAAAAAACTATAGAACAAAAATATTTCATTATTATGAGATTTTAAGAAAATATGTGTGTGTATGAATTTTTTTGCAAATCTTACTATTTACACGTTATAATGTCAGTCAATTCTTAGATTTAATACAATACATAGAAACGCATATCTAGATATAAAAACCATCTTAAACTGTCATCCATAGATCTGAATTTGTTCTTATTTAGGCTCCCCCTAAAATTTCTCTTAAGGTATATATTTTAGAATGCAAAAATTTTAAAATAAAAAAGAGGGAGAAAATTTAATAAAAAATCTCCCATATTTATAAATATAAACAATATAGATAAAAACATATTTTTAAATATGTTCATATTGCAAATTGTTTCTTTAAATTTTAAAAATAATATAATTTACTTATTGTAGTTAATAAAAGTTAACTTTGATGATTAGTTGACAAGAAAATAATAAAAATATTAAAAATTATAAAAAAATTACAATAAAGGATTCAAAAATAACAAAAAAGATTCAAAAAATTATAGAAAATGACCAAAAATTTTAGGTCATTTTTTGTAACCTTTTGAGATTTTTTTCTATTATTTTCTGATTAACTAATGATTAAAATTAATTTTTATTAACGGCAAGGGTTAGATTTCACTGTTTTTTAAAATTAAGGAAATAATTTGAATAATAAATAAATTTAGGGTCTATAGTATTATTAGACCTAAAGTTTAAGGGATAATTTACTTATTTATTCAAAAAGAAAAGTTGAACTATAAGTCGTTGTAGTTTTTTCTCAAATTTAAATTATATCTTTGTAATTTACTTTGTTTTAATAGAATCTTCATAGTTTGATAGGTTAAAATTGTAATCATTTATTAACATTTTTAATCTTTATGGATTAAAATTTTTAATGAATCAAATTATAAGAGCTTGATTAAAATAAAATAAATCATAAAACATAAATGAAAATAAAAAAAAATATAATGCCATGTGAATTAATTTTCTCAAAAAAATTTATCTGAGATATGTATGATAGGTAGAATAAGTAATTTGGTTAAAACTTAATGGGTCAGCCCAAATAAACTTAAAAAAATTTAGTATTGGCTTAATAAAATAATAAATTTTTGAAGGAGTTTCTCCATCTCAAAATATGAGACACTTTGAATAGATTAAAGTTTCATTAAATGCATTAATTTTAATATTACCCTTTCTCTTTCTATAATTAATTTTCATTTCTTCTCTTTTTAATATATTAAATGATGGGTATTTTTGAAAGTTCATATTTTATTTTAGAAAGATAAGGTTGTTAAATCTATTTAATGAAGTTTATTGATATGTAAAATTTTATCTAAAAGTATTTTATAATTAGGACGGAGGGAGTAATTAATATTTTAACTGTTAGATCATTTTATAATAAATTATCATATGTTTAAGTGCATTACTATATATTTTTTAAAAAATAAAAATATTTATATTGTCATATTTTTATTATTTGCAATCTCTAAAATATCTTAAAATAACATTTAAAATGTATTTTAATATTGATTTTTAGATTTTAAGATTCACATAATTTTTTTTTAAAAATTGAATCTTATGCATTGTTTAACTATCCGAAAAATATATTTTATATTTTTTAAAATAAAAATAATTAATTTTAAAGTAAAAAATAATCACGGTTAATTTTTTTTAAAAAAATGCGGGTATAATGACTGCTCGAAGCCCGGATGAATTCAGGTTAGATTTACCCATTCTAACTTTTCGAGAAGTTTGGGTCCATTCAGACCATCCCGTCCGAATTATTGGTTCGAATGACATGAATTTTAACCGGATTTGTTTTCTTCCTTTTGGCGTGCTATTGTACAAATACCAGTATAGCATGAACACACTAATCTGTGAATAAAGGTGACACCATTATCTCGTGGCTACGAACGAATGCCTTGGGAGCTAGGGCGATATTTGTCTCTTTAAATTAAAGACAAACACAACAACATTGAATTGAAGAGAAAAATTCGTACAAGATCATTGGGTTCAAAAGAAATTATGAATTTAAAAAATTAAACTTAAGACGGTTCCTTATCAGGAACTTACTTGTGTAGGTGTGGTGCCATGTGCTTGGTTCTCAAAACATCACTATCAGCAACCTCAGTGCCCTAATGAGATAAGGTTTTGTCTTCCCTCTTTATAAAAGCACCAACGCAGTAATTTCCTTGCTTTCTGGCTTTCGTCTCTCTCAGTTGCCTCAATCAGTACCTCGTTTACTTAATGTGGCTTGTATTCCTTTTCTTTTGTATACCATGTTCATTATTACCGGATCATATTTCAACTTTGTTGGATTTAAGTGGAATTATCTTATTCACTTTTACATGTTTATATTCACATTTTAACCCACCTTTTGCATTTTTCATTGCCTATTTAGGAAATGTAGTGTTGCTAATAGTAACGGGTACATGTATCGATTTTTTTTTCCCCTAATTCAATACAACCAGCACAATTCTTTTATGAGTTCATCTCATGTTTAATTTAAGGATAGATGGATAAATTGACCTTTAAAATATAGATTCAAAAGTGTTTAGAACCTTAAACTCATATTTTATACAATATTTTCTTTCAACTTTTTAAAACAGTACATTTTAACTTTTGCTGTTGGTAAAATTTAATTTTAATTGTTAATTAACTAAAAAATAACAAGAAAAAGCCTTAAAAATTATAGAAAAGAATAAAAATAATTTTCTTGATTCTTTTTTGAAATTTTTTTGGACATTTTACTATAATTGTTGAAGTCAATTTTCTTAATTTTTAAGGTTTTTTCTTTATTAACCAGCAATTAAAATTAATTTTTATTAACACTAAGAGTCAAATCACACCATACATAAAATTGAAGAGGGGCATTGCACAAAAGATGAATTTTTGATCCCAAATGCCCTGGGCCTATGATTTAAACGCTAATAAGCTCATTTATTCTTAATTTAATTATTATTAGATCAAATTTGAGTATTACCATACCTAATTAGGAGTAGCACTCCATTTGGATACTCAACTTTGCCCAAGAGAAATTGAGTTCCTTTCACTCAACCTAACTACCATTAACCGGTTTTTTTTTTTTATTGTTCACAAGTGCTCTTTTATTAAAAATAATTTTATTCAAGATACAATTAAATACTAAATATGAATGATCATCTTGATGGGAAATTGAATTTTTATTTGCCATGATCCAATTCTTGTTGGTTATTATTGGTTGGTTTTAATGCATAATTTAGTACTTATACAGGCATTAAGTAAATCAAGAACATAGAGACTAAATGGTGCATTTATGAACTTTTCCTCTATGTAACACTCAAATGGCTCAGTGGAGAAGAATTTGCATAACATATAACATACAATGCACTTGGCCTATAATCCATGAACAATAAGGGGAGAAAAAAAAAAACCAACAACGACGAGAATGAGATTATATTATACAATGATCAATAATTTGAGGAATATTATATAACAAATTTAAAAACAGACTGGATTGTTAATTTAATCTCCAAACCAGGAAGTAGGCGAGCAAGCTCAAAGCTCAGCTGCAGTTATCACCTCAACATGAGACCCACCAACTCCCACTCTACCCTTTCCCTCCATTTTAAATGCTCTGTTCTTATCTCGTGAAATTTAGATAGAGAAAGCAACAAAGATACATGCAACACACTCAAACTATATATATATATATATATATGTAACCATCCTAACCCATAAACTTGTCGGCACGTTACAACAGCAACCAATATATTTATATATATATAATGGTGTTGATGAAACAAACCGTGACAAATTTGATTCGCTGCAAAACGCGTATACACAGAAACCACACATCCTCAGGGAATAAGCAATTTTTTGAATGCCAGCTCAGATCGCATATCTGATACAATAGGGCTAGCTTTAAGAAGAAAAAAGACAACATATTGCAAGAAGATGCTTGTGAGTCTCTTTATTATTTATTTATTTATAATGCTTCGCATTCCACCTGGTATCCTAGGCATGCCCCACATCGAGCTGAGAGGACTTTAATGATGCCAGACTAATCTGGATTGAGTCAGGTTATAATCCTTTCAAGTGAAAGCTCTACCACAAAAAAATACTGCATTCCCATAGTTCTAACTCAAGACCTCTAGCGATGCTTGTGATTATCTTTCTTTTAAAAAATGACCAGAGTTTAGCAGCTCACAACATTTTTACTAGTATTCTGGCCTTTTAGGTCTCCGACCACCTTTATGTTCCTCAAATAATGTTCTAATCAAAAGGTAACCAAATGATTGGCTATGATTGGGACATTCTTCAATGAGTGTGGGCTTTAATATAGAATAAGAATGTGAAAAAAGGTATTTTAGCTAATCACAAGAAATGGAGAGGAACGGACAAGAACAGGCGGAGGCAGACTACATAGATTTATAACCAACATTCTTATATTAATGCTAAATCACAATAATTGTAATTTAGCCAACATAATACCATACATTATATTGATTTATGTTTATCTTACCACCAAAACCAACCACCATAAAGAAAAACAGGAAGAAAGAATAAGAAAGCACAGCATTTGAGGGGCCTGGTCCCCTTGGATTACCTGTTTCTGGCCCACTGCCAACCTGCTATAAGTTGTAAAGTAATATTCAACGAAGAATCCGGTCGACATAGGTCTATGATCTGAAAAAGAACTCCTTTTCATTTTCTCATATTCATCTTTCCGCATGCCCTTCAGGGTCTGTAAAAGCGAAGTAGGATCACAAGAATAATTTTTACTCATTCAAGAAATTGAAGAGACACTATGAAAGGAAACAAACAATGAAGATCCACCCTGCTGTTAGTGGTAGGAGAAAATAACACAGGAATCAAAAGCTGGTGGCGAAAAACTAGGACTCATGCCCGAGAAAAGTGCTGACATGGCAACAACCACTTGACATAACACAAAACGTTATCTTGCATTGTTTCAGAACTACGGAAGCATATAAACTTGTCCCTAGACCAGAACTTTAATGGACCAGAACCTTACCTAACAACTGGATAGGTGAATAATGTTACTGTAAAGCATTCGTGATGATTGTATCTTGCAATTACAGAATCTTGGGCTTTGGGTAGTCATGGTATATAAAGTTCCATTTTTATTATTCCATTCCATGCTGAAGGAGAAAGACAGAGATGGGAAAGTAGATGAACATAAAGGACACGAAAATTACACAATCATGATGATCTTTACCAAAGTTCTTGTAGGTGTTGAGCACAATCTAACAATTGTTTATCCTATTAACCCAAAAGCTCCACAGGAAAGTATTGAAGCAAGATGTCATTACACAAGAAATGTACATATAATCCAATTTACAAAGGAAGAAAGCTTAGATATAGGTTTATAAAAGGTTTTGCTATCAAGTTTTCCATTACATGTCAGTCGGTTTTTTTCCTTTTATTTTCTTGTCGTCCCCCCCCCCCCCAAATAATTAGTCATTGAAAATATTTCAACCGTTCTATTGTTATTGAATAACCTAAAGGTAAACAATGGGAAAATTTTACAAGATTTTGTCCTGTTCTTGGTGAGTAAAGGTTTTGTCCTTGACAGGAAAAAGAATCAGAATAGAAGATTCCAGATTTTGGATACCATGTGTCTGACAAATTCGTTGTTGCTTCTGACTGAAGAAAAACCTTGCCTGAAGAAATTTCAAAAGATTTGTTGTTGACTTTTTCATGTCAGCAATAAAAAATGCAGATCAAATGTTCACAGCTTGAGCTGTCCAAATTCAGAACAAACTATGTATATCATGAATGTCAATTGTTCATGAGGTTGGCACTTATAAGTAAAATTGCGAAAATAGGTAATTATAAAACCCATGTTCACATGAAATTATAACATACGGGGAAAAAGAAGTAGCATATAACAGCTGGATCAAGCATAACATGACCTATTGAAGTGGCGGACGTCACAAAAGTTGGAAAAGAAGCAAAAATGACATTGGTATTAACAAATCAAACTACATATGACGACTAATGCATGTCAATGAATTGCCCTCAATTAACCATTCCTCTGCTCCCTCCTAATTTTCCTAGTACAACTGCTCAACAGACAACAACTGACCAAAGATCTATGAAAGACAAAATAAGAGTCAATTTGAGTGTGCAAGGGCATGAAACTCCTCTGCGTAAAACTACAATGAAACTCAGACTTCAATCTTGGCTATGTATATGATGATTTTCTGAGTGAGAAGCGATATATTTCAATGCGCACTGCAAGAAACAAGGAACCTAACCATTCGAATTTTGGGGTGAATGTTCAGATGGGAGGCCGCGATTTAGGACAAATCCATTGAAGACAAATGTACATGACATTTAGATGTTTTACAAGCTGTGTTGAAATGGCAGTGATTTGGCATGGAATATCCATGGGTTACCCACAAGAGATCTTAGTTGGTGTAATCTATACGTTCAATAACTGTCAGAAGACAATAAATGTTTGAATGCTTTTGGAAAGTTAAGGGTTAAAAGTGGAACAAATGAAAGTTAAGAGATAAAAATACAACTTCAGGCAAAGTCAAGGGATCAAACATGTAATTAACGTTTTTCCCTCAAAAAATGGGAAGGGGCTAACAGTGTCAATTGTCAAACAAGGCAATTTGACCAATAGAGTGTCAAGCATCGTGCAGAAGTAGCCTTTTGTAAAGAGTTTCTAATCATCTCCTTCAAAGTAGCCGTACAAGCAATAATATTTAGAACCATAATGAATTGGTAATGTTTGTGAAAAATGCTAGTATGCTCAAGATTAAAAATAGACCAAAGCATTTGACAAAGACCTCAAAAGGCAGGGTCAAGGTTGATTCCAACAATAAAATGGGGTTATCCATTGTCTAGTGTAAAATGACAGCCAACTAGAAATATAGATTCTAGAGCTATAATAAATGAAAAGGCCATTATATTTCAATTAGATGGTCATAAGAAGACCAAAAGGGAGATTATTCTACCAATAATAGACACAAAAGGGATTAAAGCAAATAAACTGACCAATGTTCATAAATCTCAGAATTTCAACAATATGAACAGTGGCCTAGGGTGATCACGATCGCTTTCCATCTGTATCCCTCTTTCTTTACCTTCATTGTTATTTATGACCAGAACACCATTAGCTGAAACAGCATTCTACACTAGTCCACTACAGTATCGTCTTCATTCTCACTCCGCCTATTCTCATTTATCTACTAAAAATATAAAGATAGAACACTTATAGGACATTATCCATGCAAAAGAAACTACACAAAATGAACATCAAGAGATGCTGACAATACAACCATTTACAAAGTGACAGCATGTGACAGACAAACATTCATTTGACAAAAGAACAACCAAAAAGTTTGCAGAGCAATAGGTTCAAGCCTGTGGTGATTTCAGAGAGCTGGTTCTTTCACTTCTCAATAATAACTGTCCACAAAATTAAAATTATGTTCCTGAAGCCTCCTGCACTATCCAAATTAAGCGGAATAAAGGTAGAAGTGGGTCAACTTCAGCTATATATAACAATGCCCAGCACTTCAGAAACAGTGTGTATACCACAAAGGCAATGTAATAAGAAGTGGCTTGCTGCTACAAAACTACTTCATCAATGACGAGGAGTTAACTCAGAAATGGTCAGCATTCTTATATAACAATCTTTCGTTACCAAACTTGTGAAAAAAGATAAGCAAAGCATTCTCCGAAGTCTTTTAAGGAACATATACTATATGCAATTTTTTTGGTGCTGAAGAAGAGTTATGAGTTCATAAATTAATACCTTTAGATCAAAATCCCCATTGTCAGCTAATGCTTCATCACATTGCATCTTTTTTAAACTTTTTCACAAGGTTGGCACCTGATTGCCCAGCATTAGTTAAGAAATATCCAGCCGGGGGGGGGGTAAAATAATAAACAAATACAAGGTTATGATCAGAAATTACATTTGTTAATCCTAAACTTTAGAAAAATAACTGGCCTTAAGGCTTGGACCAATCAGTCATACAAGATTCTTTTGATGATACCATTCTCCATACTATTTGATACACTAGAACTTCACTACACGCCAATTTTTAATTGAATTGAAAATGATTGTGTCATCCAATTTTTACTTTGATAGAATCCTTTCTCAAGAGAAGGTTGAGACTTTTGATAGGATCCAAGATAGGTAGAAGAAATAAGGAAGATAAATCTCTATTAACATATAAAATCATAATTTAACTTCATAATATTAATAAGACAACATCAAAATGATAGAAGAAAATACAAGGAATAAATCTATCAAGGTAATATAGAACAAGAATCTCGTTCTATATTTCTCTCAATAGCTACACTTAGGAGAATTTTCAAAGGGCCAAAAGTCTCAAACGTTTGTTCCATTCATAAGATGCCTGCCTTTGAGTTGCTAAGCATAATAATGAATAAAATCTAAATAACTAGATAGTTAAATAAAAACTAAATAAAATTTCCTAGAATCTATGTCTAGATAAAATACTGAATAAAATCTAAATAAAATTTAAAGAATTAAATATTGAATAAAATCTAAATAACTAGATATCTAGTTAAATATCTATATATCTAAATAAAATCTAAAAAATTTTATTAAATAGAAAATATCTAAATAAATTAAAAATAATATTTATTCCTAATATTTCTTCTCTCAATTCACCCATTATCTTAATATTCTATCAAAACTCCGGTTAAATAGCAATTTTATATATTTTTATCCTTTTAATTTAGGCTTTTAAATATTTATTTGAGGCTAATTAAGTTTAATTAGATATTATTTGATTTTATTAGCCAATCTTCAATTTTTGGATTTTAACTAAGTAAATCTTTGATTTTAAAATATAAATGATATCTTTGATATTTTTGCACAATTACTATTTTATTTTATTTATTTGTACAGATTTTCTAGATTCAATTTAGAAGATATTGATAAAGATTATTTTGGATAAGAAGAATATGGGTAGGATTGAAGATTGAGTCAAGAATAAATCTTTAAAATTTTGTTTAAATTTATTTTGGAATTTTTAGTGTAGTTTTCAATTAGGGTTATATAGGGTAGTTTTATCATTTTATTATTAGTTTTGCTTTAGCCGCACATGCACAGGAGATGCATCACTTTGATATATAAAAGAAGGAACATATGACGCAGGAGGGGGACTTCCTTGGTAGTAGAAATCGTTGTTCGTCTTTTCTTCTTCCAATTTATTGGTGATGGCTTCTCAATTTCTTGTGCAGTGCTGTCTGATTTTAGTTCTATGAAGAATTAATTTTTTGGTGTGATTAGTCACAAACTATGATCCTAAATTTTAATCAGAGTTTCTGATATTTAAAGAAGATTTTATTCTAGCTTTATTTCTATTTACTCTTCGTCTCTCTACTTTAAAATTTTGTGCTTTAATTGCTATTGCTGATTAAAGTAGCTTTATTGCATGATTTTTGGGTTATAAATTTTATTGAGGTTTTGTTTGCTATAATTGATTGATATAGTAATATAAGAGTAATTTGGCCTAGCTCGAGTGATTACTCACGCTTTATTTCTAATGTGGCTAATATAAAACAGTTGTTAGATTGTAGGTTAAGGTAGATTTCAATTAATCTATACCTTAATTTCTTGTTTAATTCTTGAATGATAATTTGAAAAATATATAATAAGATCAGAATAATAAAATTAAAGAAAATTAATTTATTTTGTGGACGAGGAAGATTAAGTTTAGGTGATTAAATTGTGATTGATTGCGTTGCTTGTTCTTGATAATTTTCTTAGTTGAATTTCCTTTATTTAATTTTAATTTAGTTTTTTAAATTAATTTCATCATAAAAAAATTCCCCTATTATTTACCTTTTCATAATGATAATTCAAATAGTTACTCTATTAACTCTTAGAGAGATGACCTAGGTTGCACTTTACTGCAAAATCTAGCTTTTATTAATTTTGATGCTATTCGATAGTAGTGTCAACTCCTCTTTGAAAAATTCACCTTGTCCTCAAGGCGAGATATAGCCAATAACTTTCTTGGATGTCTAGAGGTTTAGATGGGAGTAATAGGTAAATAGTAGTATCTCCAATTTGGGCTCCAATAGTAGAGTTGGGCTAAACAAGAGACCTACTGTTCACCAAGTTCATAACCTTGCACTCAAAGGTCTCTTGAAGTTCATTGTTGCTGTAGTAGCTTTTCCTAAACATGCAGCAAAGGAGGGTTGGGCACTTTTTAGCACTATCTTGACTTTAGTGTTGTCTTTCAAAGGAGAGATGAGTTCTTTGCCATGTTCAAGCTCTGAAACAGAAACATGCAAAGTCGACAAAAGTTTGGAGTTTGTTGGGGTCCTTGAGAGATGAAAGAGAGAAGGCCACATCTCCTTAGCCTCATGAACAAATGTATTTCCAGTCAATAGTGTTTCATTTTGACTAGGTTGTTGCACTCCTTTAGGACCATGAAAGTATTGAGGCTAAACTCAAGTGCTTGTACACACTTTTAGGTTGAAGAGTTTTGCGTTTCTGAATTTTCATATCTCCCTTAACTCCTAAATGAATTTGGCTGGCTTTGATTCATTTGCTATTTGGCACAATTGGTGGGACCTTGATTGTAGAATTAAAGACATCAAGGTGAGCTATGATGTAAAGGAATAGGCGCCTTTTATAAGGTGAAGCTGTAGAAGTAGTGTAGAGATGGTAGGAACCTATTGAGGATTGAACGGCTCTAATGCCAAATAATAGGATCCAAGATAGATAGAGAAAAATAATGAAGATAAGTCTCTATTAACATATGAAATCAGAATTTAACTTCATAATATTAATAAGAGAACATTGAACTGGTAGAAGAAAATAGAAGTATAAATCTATCAAGATGGTATAGAACAAGAATTGTTCTATACTTCTCTCAATAGCTGTGCTTAAAGAATCTCCAAAGGGCCAAAAGTCTCAAAAGTTTGTTTTATTTATGATATGCCTTCTTTTGAGTTGCTAAGCATATTTATAATACTAAATATAATTTAAAATAATGAATAAAATCTAGATAACTAGATAATTAAATAAAAAATGAATAAAATCTCCTCAAATCTGTATCTAAATAAAATACTAAATAAAATCTAAATAAAATTGAAAGAACTAAATATCTGAATAAAATCTAAATAACTAGATATCTGGATAAATATCTAGATGGAAAACATCTAAAATAAATTAAAAATTAGATCTATTCCTAATATTTCTCTTCCCAATTCACCCATTATCTTGGCACTCTATCACTTTTTCTAAGACCTACAGCAGATGTACTAAGAAGACACAGACTGCTGGTCAAGGAAATTATACACAGGTTTATACCCCAAGATGAAGAAAAGAGGGAGACAGTTACAGGCATAGGAAGATTTGGGTATGAGCAGTATTTGGAGTAGTTAGATACAACTTTTTGGTTTAGAATCCTCAAACCTGAGCAGGGAAGTCAGATCTAGAATTTTGAAGAAAGTTTAGTTGGAGGGGAGTCCTGGCCTCACAAATGCCAGTGTCACTGCCTTCTGTGTTTGTTATGTTTCAGTTGTAGTTTGTGCTGCTTAGCCATTTGGAACTACAGAAGACATTGAAGAGTCATGGATAGGATTGGCGTATAAAGATGGTTTTGTTTAAAAAATCTCAAAATGTTGAATTCTATCCAACAATTAGTAAAATGACTTCTTTTGCCAACGCGGCATAGTTTTGTTTCTTTTTGGGAGTACTTTGGCTTTTCTTTTGCAAGTTTATTGAGTGCGCCTTCCTAGAAATGAAGCTAATTCTCAAAGTTGCTTCCATTTGGAATAACTTTGCGAGTCGACAGCAATTTCCAGCAATCAAACAAAACAAATTTTAACCAATACAGGTCATTTGAAGAAAAGAAACCCTTGAAAAGAATTGAACTATCTGCCCCAGTACTAAAATTTGAATGCGACGTACCCTTTCTAATGTGGTACTAAAGATTATTTACCTCACAATGTCTAGTCTGTCAAGATGTAAAGCAACTGTAGTCAGCATCTCTGGCCATTTCCAGAGCATCTTCCAACCATCCCTGAGATTCCAAAAATCAAGCCATAATAGCCAGCACAACAACTACAATAACAGAAAAGAAGTCCAAATTTCTGTACAAAGTAACATTCCTTGCAGAAAGCTAAAATGTTACAAAGCAAGTGGTTAATTTCTATTTATAAAATAGAGGTGCTACAATACAAACAAGGGAATATGAGCTCAATGAATGATGCACTCATTTGAACTCCTCCCTCCTATATCCAGTGTCTTTCTATGTAGATTGGCCATAACTTCAAATCAAGGTCATCCATTAGATTGGTATAATATCTAGTTTCAGGGATGCAACCAGAGATTAGAGGAAAGCAGAGAGTAGTGAAATAGTCAAAAATTTTAGAAATGATTACAGAGACCAATGAACCCACTTTAGAATAGTTAACTATTTCTATTTAGCTTAAATGAGTTATTAGTCAAGCAGAATTTCACATGGAAGAAGTTGGGGTCATGCTTGTCATGGTTTCTTATTCTAAATTTTATTAATTATTTATTTTTTATAAGTTTGTAAATAGTTTTATGCAAATTACTCAAACTTCAGCCTTTACAGCTTCCTACTTTAGTTTGATATGATTTCAGATTTGTGGGTGTCTATCTTACAAGATTTATATCTCCCATTTCGGGAGCAGCACTGAAGAGGAGAGAATAAATGAGCAAATAATTTATTTCTCTCCTCAAGGTAAAAGTATCGTAATAATAATCTATGAGGATGATAAAACAATGACCGGTGATTTTGAAGAAGAAATAAAGCTGATGAAAAGTTCTCTCAAAGGGAGTTTGAAATCAAGATGCTTGGTGAGCTAAGGTATTTCTTCATCATGAAAGTAGTTTCTTAAAAGAAAATCCAAACTTGATCTACTGGATGGGACCACTATGCTTTGGATGTAAGCCAACTAAAACTCTTATGGAGACTAACTATAAGCTAAGTTAGTTTAGAAAGCTCATCTATCTTTCCCACATTTGACTAGAAATCAAGTTTCCAGTTAGCGTGGCAAGTCTGTACATGAATAACCAATTGAGGAGCATATGAAAGTGGTTTACTATACCTTGAGATGTTAAATGATGACTTCAAACAAGGGTCGATATTTATTTTTATGAAAGTGGTTTACTATACCTTGAGATATTAAAAGATGACTTCAAACAAGTGTGGGTATTTATTTTTTTGAAGGGTCCTATTAGAGCCGTTCACGTGCATGTTGATGCAGATATGCCTGATTCTATTACAAACAGAAAATCAGCCTTGGGTTATTGTACCTTTCGTGAGGTAATCTAGCAACATGGAAAATCAAGTAGCATTGGAAGAAGCAATCCAGGGGTTGAATAGAAGGCTTATCTAAAGGCATTTGTGAAGGATTGTGGCAAAAGAGGCTTCCAGTTGAATTGAGAATACCAGTTGAAATCCCTATGCATTATAAGATAACATGGCCACTATCAGTATAATTAAGAATCTTGTACATTGTTATAAAGCAAAGTATGGGGAGCTTGACAGACAATCTATGAAGGAGATAATAGACTCTGGGACATTTGAGGAATCTGTTCCAATTTCTAGTGGCTGATTTGCTGACTAAAGTTGTTCCCAGAGTGAAGTTTAAAAATCTAGGTGACCAGGGGTGAATGATAAGGATATGAGCATGTTGTAACATTAGGCATAAGATAAGAGTTGTCAAACATGAGTACCTCTTGTACCTAACCACCAATACAGTAGTAGAGCTTCCAATTCTGAGAAGAGCTATCGTAAATAAAACAGTAACCAACTCATATTCCAGGTCTGACTGGCTCATTTATTTCATGTAGTAGTTTAAAAGAATCATCAACGCCTTGATCAGCAATAGGTCTTCCACAATCAAGATATGTTGATAGAACATCATACTGCCAACAAATATGCAGTTAATTGTGAAAAGTCTAGATCATGTTATTAAAAGTAGCAGGTAGGTTAAGGCAATAACTTTCCATATATACAAGATTGGAACAGTAGAGTCCAGGCGAAGCATTTTACATTGTATTTTGGAATGTAAAATGATGACTCACTACCAATTGCCATTGCATCACCACTTTGCCCAATGGACATTCTGGAGAACTAAAAGCAGTCAACACTTACAAAATATTAGAAATCTACAAAAACAAGAAAGATGTCAGTTGCAGTCATACCAGAACATACTTTGACATTAACATCGATTCTCTGCATTGACATGCTTTCATTCCAGTTAGAAAAGAAAATTAACTCATTTGAGCACGCTGCCAACAAGGTCCGTCTGTAGACATGTTCAGCAAGATATAAAGGGAAAAATATTCTTCCTTCCCTGAAAAATGCCATCTCTTTTAAAAACATCATCCACAGTTTTCCAGGGGTAAATATTTTTAAAGAATGCTGAAAACAACAATTTTGAAATGGAAGTAAGAATTGCCACAAAACATCATCTAATTTCTCTAATGCCATATTCCCTTATTCTTGATGGAGGAGAAAATGTTCAATAAGTACATTGCTTTCTCCATACAGCTTAACAACTGATCAAACAAGAACTTATAGGAAACCGATGCAGGTGGTGCAAGACAGTTTACAAGAACCCACTCATGATTTTAAACCTGAATACAATCATCAAGGGCCCTGCAAGACTAATTGTATTATTAGAAATTATGCATCTGACCATATCTTAATCCTCTCACAGGGTGCCTCTCCAACCTTTCTGGAAATCTTTTCCTTGATGGGATTCATCAAATTTTCAAGTTCAAGCAGAAACTACAGCCATGTTTGCAGGCTGCTTACAACTTCAAACAAATGTTTGCTGGCTCCTTGCAACTTACATAAGTTTGATCGGTTTATCTGTATAGAAATTTTTACAAATAAATTCCTTCCTTCTGTTCCTATCCTTCAAACTCTACAACTAAAGCCAACTAGACAGAAATATATCTAAGGGAACAAGATAGTCCACACAAATTTGCTACAGGTCTCTAGCAGCGTGAGTTACATGAAAAGAAAAATTAAAGCAATATGGTATATTTTTCTCAGAAAATAAAATGGAAGAAATGATCTCTGATTCCTACACCGCTATTCAAGAGTCAATACTGAATATTGCAACGTATGGAACATGGGAAGATTACTATGTAGTCAATTGCTATATTTGAACTTCGGGAAGAATCTAACGTGATGAAGCACAGTTGACAGTGATTGGTACGTAAAGGCTGACAAGAACCCGGTGCAGATATCACAAAGAATATCAGATAAAGCAATTGGAAATGGAGAAGAGTAATATCAATAACAAAGATACATTTGATATAGCTTTAAACACCTCTTACAGCTATAGTGTGACTTTAAATGAAATGAAAGTGCCATAGTTCAGTTGGATGTAGATCCACTGATAGTAATCTCAGACCTTAATGTGAATTTTCTCTGATGATCAGGTATTGATAGTTATCAGGTAAATTTGAATCTACTTTAATTAGAGCGAAAATGAACAACTGAAGTAAGAATAATGGTTTGAAAATACTTACCTTATTTTCAAGAGGATACAGAATTACCATAAACCAAAAGAGAGAGCAATGATCAGCTCAATTTCACATCTCATCACCCCACCAAAAATTAAAAACATAAAAAAAAAAAACCAGACAGTAACTACCTAAAATATAAATAAAACTCATAACTAACATCTGTTTAAGCCAGCCAACGAAAAAAATTGAGAAGATCGTCGAGGAAGTTTTGGATTGTCCTCCAAAACTTGCAAGCAACACACACGGCAAAAAAAAAGTGGAGAGAAATAAAGGAATTGATCACAAAGAAGAGCTGAGTTACCTTTTCAGAGATTGGAGAGAACGGGTAGAGACCTATTTGACTGAACTTGAATAGCTGTTTGTGTGATTAGATGAAGAAACTAGATACTTCCAGTAATTAAGATTGTTGCTCAGCATTCATTTGAAGGGCCGTTTGTACGAGCAAAGGACAATTTCTAGTAAGAGGCCAAACAGAGTAAACTCATTATTCTATATATCTCTCTCTTGAATCTTGTCGTAAAGTTGGGAAGAACTTACTCAAGCGGAAAAATTAAGAAAATATGACAAATTGGTCCCCGACAAGAAATTTATTGACACTAGAAAAGTGTCATAGTCATAGTCATAGTCATGAGAAATTTTTCGATAAACCGGTATATTACGTCATTTATAATTCATTTAATCATTAATTTAATGAAATAAAATTTTACATATCATCATTGTAAATAAATTTATTTTTATCAATAGCATGCCTATTTAATTTCTACATTTTTTTTATATTATTATGAATATTAAAATTAATTTATATTTAAATATTATTTGAATATCATATTTTTATCAAATATGTTATGGATGATGTGGTGCACATGATATATTTAATAATTTATCCTTAATTATTGGTTAACATGGGTAGACTACAATAAAATGCCAAGCAATAAAATTATCCAAAAAAATTTATTAAATAATAAGTTATAAATATTAATTTAAAAAATTGTAAACATAAATTCTAATTATATATTAAAACTTATACTTAAAATTTAAATATTTTATTTATAGTTAAAATTCTTGAAATTGCAATTATTTAAATTGATGTTTATAATTTATTTTCAAAAAAAATTATAAAAGACATAATCGTCATTAATTTCTCTCCTTCAAAAAAATTATAAAAATTATAAAATTATAAAATTATAATTTCTCTCATTAATTATAAAAATTAATACTCAATTTATAAAAGACTTGACTGTTATTCTCTTTTTTAAAATTCAAGTACGAACCCTATCTTTTCCTTTCCTGTCCTGTTTTTTCCCATGTTTTTTAAATATAGTAAAAGGATTTGAAACTTGTAAATTTAAGAGTTGTGAACAAAAGTCTTCTAAAATCATAATCTAATCCTTGAAGCAGGAGAATCTTGAGAACTATTGAATAATCCTTCATCCACACTCATTACAATACATAATAAGTATTTACAGTTTGCATCACTTACTATAATAACTTCATTATCCTGAACATATACAAATTGTCATATTTTTTGGGCCAAATGAACATATATGAATTGACAACAACTAATTTAGAGCACTTGGCATAGCCAGCACTAGACGAATGGTACTGAACATAATGCATAAAATACAAATAATATAACAACAAAGTCTAAAAATTACATTGACTCTTCAAGAATGGGGTTGTCACGCCTTTTCCTATAATGAAACTAGTAAAGGACGGTTGTTACTATCAATCGAAACTCTAGCATCACCCCCCTTAGAGATTAGCCTTCGTCCTCGAGGCGGAAGGAAGGAAATTGAGATGCAATCAAGTCATAAGATTCCCTATTGGATTCTTCAAGAGGGCGATTCTTCCATAGATGAATAATTCAATCACTAATTTCCCACTGGCTTCTAAAACACTCCCATCTTGCACCCGTTTAGGTTCAACTTGAAATTCCCATTCATTATTAATAGGAAGTGGAAGAAGGGGAGGCTGTAAGTCATACTTTTAACTCGTAGAAATTTTAAATAGGATTAATTGAGATAATTGAAAGGAAAATGGTAAATTGAAGGTTAACTCAGGTAAATTTTAGTGAATGGATGGCTAATGGGCCTACCAAATCCTAATTATGGCTTATAAATAGACATTAGGTGATATTGTGTCATATTCAGCCCAAATGGATGGAATTAATTTTGGGCTTTGCTCACTGTATGTAGTAGACGACGGATTGAGCATTTCAAAAGTTTAAAAACATAACATAATAGTGAGAAATAGAAGTTTAAAAAATATTAAATATGTTAGAACATAATGTACCCCTCAAATAATTGGCTTCCAAGCCCAAAATGTTGCATGAATGATTAATTCACGTTCATAACATTAATATCATCCCAATTAGGTTTTCTTCTTCCTATTTCAATACTTTAACCTCCCTAATTTCACTTTGATTTATAAATACTCATACCCATTATATTTATTAACTTCCTTTAATCTCTACTAACCTCATTAACTTCTTAGGGTCATTAATATCACCCAACGACCTTCAAAGCCTACAATTAATACTCAATTTTTAGATATAAATGCTCAACAACCATCATTAATGTGTAAAACTTTTATTGATTAGTTTAAACAACTCAAATAACTCTTCAAGCTCAACAACCCTTTTGTTATCAAAAAGGTTTAATCATGGAGCCTCTTCAAGCTCAAATAAGCTCCGAATATCTAGAATCTACATAATTAAATGCTAATAATCAATTATTACCTCTAACATAAATACTATCTAGCCTAATTAAGATACCCATAACCTTTAACTTTTATCGTTTACTAAACCAACACTCTAACAATGTTCGATTAACTTCATTTAGCTTCCATGATGTAACATCTCAAAAAATTAACCTAGATTAAGTAAAGTTAAATGAGGTTAATTAAGTAAATTAATGTGATATGTGGCTATAGAGAGTTAATGAATGTTTTAGGTTATAGTTTTAGCTCTAGGATTGAATCTAGAGTGGAGTTGAGACAACCAGACCTTAAAAAGTAAAAAAAAGGAGAAGCGTCTTTGTACCACATGTTGCAGCGCAAGCCAGAAAAATGAGAAGTATGTCTCTTTGTACCACATGCCATGGTGTATATGGCATGCGCTATGGCTCACGGTTAGAAACTTGACTTAAGAGGTTGTGAATTTAGGTGAAAAATAGAGGAAAAAAATAAAGAAAGAATGAGAAGCTAGGGATCTTCTTTGGTAGGGCTTATAAATTAGAAGGTTTGGGAGTATTTCTAATCCATCAAACATCAAAAGTAAGACTCCTAAACTCCTTTACTCTTTTCGCCTTCCATTTTCTCTAGTTAAAGAGCTAGCGTTTATGTTGGGATGATGATTTTCAATTCATAATGACTATGGTCTAAACCCCTTAACTTAAATAGAGTTAATAAAACTTGTTTAGGTTAATTAAATCAAACATTGAGGGCTTTTAGAATACTTGGTTGGAGGAAGTTATTAATATCAAAAAATGGCATTTATTAAGGTTGTTGGAGTTGAATTGTCATAAGGGGGTTTGAGAGTTTGATGATGCTAATGTGAGCTAAAGGGAACCAATAAACCTTATGGATCATGTTTTATATGAAGAATTAGAATTTTAATAATTGTAGAAGTGTTGAGTAAATAGTAAGAGTTATCCTAATAGGGATATTAATGACAATTGGTTTGATTAATTGTAGATTAATCATCATTTGACACTATTTGAGCTTGAGAAGAGCTTTGAAAGAAATTGTTTTGAGGGGTAAACTTTTAACCTCTCAAAAGTTTGAGGTAACCAAGAAAAATTTAGTCTGTACATTTGCTTGATTGATTGATTATATGTGAAAAGAATTATTTGAAAAACCATGATATACTTGTAAACCTTTATTTAATGCAAGTTGTGGTAATGTGATTAAATTTATATGATGTGTTGAAATTGATGAAAATGACATTTATAAATATGCATGTCTATATGATTAATGTTGTTGTGGGTAAGCTTATAAGTGTATAAATGTGCATATGAAAAAGGGGGTTTGTGGAATTGAAACACTGGCTAAGTCTGATAGCGATTAGGAGAGGAGACAAATATAATGGCTTGAATTACAGGTTGTGTTATGTGTTTAATAATCTACATGCATTTAATATGTCAATTATGGGTGTGCTCTGTGTTAAACGTGAGTCCATTACATGATCATTTAAGGTGAGAGTTCACCTATAAGGAGAGTAGTGGATGTTGGAAATCCATTTGCTATGGCTATATTTGGAACTCAATGGTTTTCCTTTAATTATTTGTCTTACTTGTTCTTTAAGGGACTTTTCCATTTGTTCATTGAGAGACTCTATAATGCCCTTACGACATTACGGCACAACACACAATTATACTTGGGTTTTAAATTGAAAATCATAAAGAACTAGTATCCCACATAAAACCTTTTGGAAAACCATTATACATTGTTTAAGATTTTCATAATTGCCCAGCAGAAGCATATAGATTACATATATAAAGCATGAGGAGAAAACAAAAGCAAAATTTTATTAAAAAAAAAAGAAAACATAAGCAAAATGAGGATTTTAGACTAAATTGAGCCATATGCCATGGCATGTGATACATGTGCCGTAGCATGTAGTGTAGAGCCAGCCCTTCTTGTTTTGTGACATGTGTCGTGGCATGTGCACGATATACCATAGCTTACGTATTAGATTTTGCTATCAAATAACTTCTAACATGAACTCTAACGTGCACTGTTTGTGCATACGGTATCCGATTGGGGTGATTCAAGTGCCTACATAAAGCTCATTTTAAAATTTAACTAATGACATTGATTTCATAAAAATCTAATACCTTATGTGAAAATTAGACACTCGAATATAAAATGATCATTTTAAGTCATTTTTACTCACTCATGCACCTCAATCTCAACCACATTCATTAGCCACTTGTAAGGCCTTGACCACATCCAATGTAACATTTGACACTTGATAAAACATTCATATCATTAATATCATGCATACCTACATGTTTGGCTACTAAACTGCCCTTAAACACATACATCAGGGGCATTTGCATATTTTCACACATTTGCACACACTTAGTCAAACTCCATACCCTTTCACATTAAATATAATATATGTACACACATATGCAATTGACACCATAACTCATCCCTTGACAACAAAAATCACACACCACACAAATACATATATCGGGCTAAGTTTCATACAATTATATAAGTGCATTTTGACATTTCATGTTTATGCAATCCTATGACAACTTATGTACACACAAAAATTATAACCTAAGTTTATAACACCCATTGCTAGGAAATAAGTAGTGTCACTACTCCTAGCCTGAATCTTTCCCTCTAAAACTCCTGGCATTAGGTTTTGTAAAAAAAATGGTAACTACAGGTGAAATAAACATCTTTGTAACCAAAATAATTCATCAAATGTCTACTAGTAGGATTAACTCTAAATAAGTAATCAAAACCATTTATTTTGTTTTTGAAATCAATAAACTCATATCCATGC